ATTTTAAGGTTGTATTTTTGATTATGCTAAAGCTGTTTAAAAATTCATCAACAAATGACCAGCCAATAATCGCTTCTTTTATATTTCCTGAGATGAGTTGGACAATCAGATATGGGAAGCAATAAATTTTGTGAGGATAACAGTCTATGCATTGCTGTCGACCGCAGCTTTCTCCCTACATTGCGGTATTCTGTAAAATAGTTTTTAGTTTCTTCATTTTCAAAGACACCGTTTACGATTAAGGTGTTCTTGCACGATATGTATTTGCATCTGTAAATGTGACTTTTTCCTTACATATGTAATTGTGTCTGTCTGTCAAATTCAGTCTTAATTTAACTATTAAAAAATACGTTCTCTGAAAACGAAATCAATTAACTCAGATGATGCTATCTGTGTGTCAAATGAAAATAGAAACATTTCTATTTCGTATGTACGTGCATTTGCTTTATACAGAAACAAAACTGATTTGCCTTTACACGATATGTTGGCATTTCCGTATGTAAAGTGGCATTTACACATGCAAATACACATCGTGTAAGAACACCTTTAGCTGGATGGTGTGCGCGGCACATCTTATAACTACAATTGACTCTACTACTATTTTTCTGCGTCCCATTGTTCCCGCAATTTTTTCAAATAATCAAATTTGCCCGTTTATTAAATTTTCCTTTTTTAGATTTTTTTTTTTTGATAATAAACGAAACAAGATTTTTGTTAACATATTTTTCTGATAATTAACACAACGACATTTTTTTTTGATAAACACATAATGTTTACATTATCGATGTAAAAAGCAAAAGCGATTTTGTATTTTCATTTATTAATAAAATTAACGTTAATGAGCAGCCCTGGTTTATATACATACATATGTATGTCATTCGAAAGGTCTAAACTCGGTTGATAGTCAACTCAGTTACAAGCTTTATAAGAAAACCGGTTTTCTAAAGGGTAAGTCAAGATTGTGTGGGAAAAATTTCGTATTTCGATTCCTAGTTCACTGGACAAAACCTCCCTGAAAAATAACATGACTTACCAGGTATTTTCACTTCATTATTTTTTGTAGCATTGTGTAATAGAACACACAGAGTTGTACTTTCTCTCTTTAATTTAAAAACTTATTAAATATAATAAAATAACACGCGAGAAGAAAACAAAACATATAAAAATATAACGAATAACCAAAAATAATTACATAAGTATATACAGGAGACATTCCGTCGCCTGGGTAAAAGATTGTCGTAAGCGCCATTTTGACGATTTTTAGTTCTAGATGCAGTTATATATTTTGAAATAATGTCTTTCCAGTGGTGTTATCAGCTTTTAGATATCTCCTTTAGTTTCCGAGATATTGACTGCAACTTTTTCGATAACTTAGTAAACATTTAGTTGGTGATGCAGTCATATTAAATTAATCAATATCTTAAAAATGGTGTTCTCCATTTTTTGGATATCTCCTTTAGTTTCCGAGATATTGAATTAAAAGTGTGTTAATTTGGTAGAAATTTTGATCACATTTTGTCGTATTTCATACAAAGTGGCTGCCAAATTGTGGACAAATAACGCTTACGACAAAATTTGACTAAAGAAAATCCTTCATAAACTCAAAACTAATTAACAATAAACATTAAAAATTAAATAATTTAAGAATTTTGTGAACTAGTAACATTTTCAGAGGCTTTGTAGAAAATCTATCTTCGCGTTTTTTGAGAAATTGCATTCCAAACTTCAATCGCGATTTCCCACAACCTGCCGAAATTAACATACGACAATCTTTTACCCAGGCGGCGATTCTTTTTCATATCGGACACCAAATTTGGTGTCACACTTTCGATTGGCTTCAAATTTTTTTATGGGTTCTGAACATGAAATAAGCTAACACTTGTTTGAGGAATTTTTTTTCGCTTTTTTCTTTAGAAATATGATCATGTACTCCTTCAAATCGTTGTATCTCGGGTTCTGCCCATCGTAGAGACTTCATCTTAATGTCTTTTTAAAGCTAAACTGGCTTAATATTTCTATATATAACATGGTCAAGATATTCCTAAAGCTAACTTAGCTATTAATAGTTGAACTTTTTGAAGTTGATTTGCATAGTGAAGACCAGTAAATTAAGGATGTAACAATAAGGATGTTACAATACCATCGTAATCTTTGTTACTTCTCTATAAAAAACGTGGTTAAAAAAGGGGGGTTTTTCAAGAACTATTTTTAAAATATTTTTCTTTATGACGAGATGGTTTATTTTGTGAGAATCAACAATTATTTGTAATTGTTCTTTTCGAAAACTTATGTTAAGATATAATTGCTAAGGAGTTTAATAAATAAAATACCTATCCAGATATAATATTTGCATGGCAAGATTTTTCTTTAAGGCGACAAACCCCTAGAAGAAGATAAAGTCTCTACGATCAGCAGAACCCGAGATATAACGATTTGAAGAAGTATATGATTAGTCAGAATGACGAAAAAATGCAAACTTTGACAGATCATATCTCCGAAGAAAAAAAGAAGAAGAAAATTCCTCCAACACGTGCTAGCTTATTTAATGTATAGAACCAACAAAAAAAAAGTTGAAGCGAATCGGAGACATGACAAATACATAATTTTTTAGCGCGAACGCGGACCGCCACGAAGCTGGGCACTTTCAAAATTGTATACTTACAAATCCGTCCATTTAACATGTTCATGTACTACTTTTTGTCAAATGTAACTGGGTGACTACCTACATATGTGCACTATTTTACTTTATTACTCAAATTGTTAAGTTTAAAAGTTGGTCTTATTGCTCAACGAGAAATGAAATAAAGCAAATTTGTGTTATTTCACATTCAATTGGGAAATAACACAAATTTGCGTTACTGCCGTTTGTGTTATTTCACCCCGCCGTATTTTGTAGTGCATTTTTTTCGTTATTTTCTTGTTAAAACATAATAGACCAAGAGCTCATGACTAAAAGACCCATCAGACTTCAGATCGGTTGAAATTTTTTGAGCTTAACTTGTTAATATATAAATCGAGATCCGTAGGGCTGGCTGATGAAACAGCGGCCTTGACCATGCGTTTTAGCTATTAAAGATGTCAATAAAAACCGATTACTCAACATACTTCAGATGACATGAAATTTTGATAGAATTTTATTTAACTACAGTCAGTCAATAAAGTTTAGGTACAGCGAGGAAAATACGGACAACTATTTTTTAATAATAATAATAATAGATTGGCGCTTACACATATGTTAGTGTTTAGCCGAGTTTCTCCTCCGACTTGTGGCGTGCGCCTTGATGTTGTCACACAAAACGGTCAGTTTTACGCCGACTCCGAACGGCGATTGAATTTTTATGAGAAATGGCAGAAATACACTCGGAGGTTTTCCATTGCCTGGGAGGGACGACCGCTGTTAAGAAAAAACCTTTTTTCTATATTTTTTGCGATGCTGCTTTGAACAGGGCTATTTTTTAAAGATTTTATTTTTCGCAAATTTTTTATAAAAATATGGTTAGTTCTACAACAAAAACCCAAAAGTCAGAGTTCCAAACCTTGTGCAAAATTAAAGAAAATTCAGCAAAATTTCATTCAAATATTGCACTTTTTATTTACGCTCTCTAGAAAATAATTGAGTGTGCAGATTTTAGCCCATTAAATTTTAGTTTAATAAAATGCAAGTATGAGGATGCTAGAACTTACCGTTGATTTTTGGCAAATTTTTTGTTGAATGTGTCCCACATTTTTTCCATATAAAAAAATTATCGAACACTATTTTATATGGAGAAAATGAGCGACGCCTTCAACAAAAAAATTTCTAAAAATCAATGGTAAGTCCTAGCTACCGCAAACTTGCACGTTATTATACTAAAATTAAATGGGCTAAAAAACTGCGTACTCTGCTAGTAGCTAGCTAGTACTCAGAAGTAGATATACTTTTTCCGTTCAGTTTCCTTAGTTCAAAAATTTCCTTAGCTTTTTAGAAAAAAAAAAGGGTATTTAGTACTAAACCAGAAGCTAGAAATTGAACATAAGCTAGGCACACGCGCCAAACATAATTTTTGATGCACAATATGTTAGTGTTTGGCCGAGCTTCTCCTCCGATTCGTGGCGTGCGTGTTGATATTGTCACACAAAGGGGAGGGAACTACAGTCTTAAGCCGACTCTGAACGGCCATTGCATTTCTAGAAGCTGTTTTTCATGGCAGAAATACACTCGGAGGTTTTGCTATTACCTGTCGAGGGGCGCCCGCTTTTAGAAAACACTTTTTTGTTTATTTTTTTTTTTTTCTTGTTGTTGGTCGGAAACTGGGCTGAACCCAGGCCCTGCGGAATGATAGCGCTTACTGTTAACCACTACACCACAGAAGTCGCTGATTGTTAGTTTTTGAACATTTTCAAATCTTCTTTATTCATTTGCAATCATATTTGTTGCATATATCGATATGTACAAACATTAGTTCACTTACCAAAACATTTATCAAGCAATTAAAAATGAGCCATTATCTTGGAGTGTTTGAACCAGTCATATGATAATAAGTAATCATCCGCGATTTTCTTGTACGTCAAATAAAGTTTTACGATTGGTTTGGGTTAGGTTTAACCCCTTTCCCCCCTTTGTTCTCGCTACTACTGAATTCTATAAACTGTCAGTTTTCACACAATTTAAAATGTGCATGTGTATTTTAAATTGCAATGAAAATTGTGTTGCTAGCTTTATGTTGCCAACATGTTGCAAGCTTTTTCACAACGTAAACAGAATATGTACTACTTTGCTGACATGATTCAATAATAAAAAGTTTGCTCAAAAAACATTGTTTTGATCTGATCAACAGAACAGTTGCGTGTTAGATGATCGTAATATTTTTCTGATCCTTTCAGACAACATGTTGTGTGTTGTGAATTTGACAGCTCATGTATCAAGCCGTTCAGAAGATACATTACGATCATTGATTTTTTTAGCAACGGTTGCGCTCATCTGCTGCGCTTCCCTACGTATTTTGGAATTTCTAGCTTACCTGTGAAGAACCGCTACATGGACTGTGGGATTCAGCAGAGGATCCTTTCGACATTTCACCACAATTCCTGCAAGTAAGATGAACATAAAGTAGGAAAAGGATGACTTACATCGATTTTTTATAAGCATTGCATGTTTTAAACTATTTAATTTAAAATTTTTGTAACTGAGGAAGCAATTGTTTCATCGCGCCTGTTAAATTGAAACTACTACCAGAAATTTTTGGAGAGGAGCTAACAAAGTGGTACACCACTGCACTTCCATGGAAGGTCACCCTCGACCGAAAAATTGGATGTTTATGAAAGTCGATTTTTATCTTATAATAGAAATAAGCTACTAGTAAAAACAAATATTTTAAAGCAAGCTTTCTAAATATGAACGAAATCAGACCATAAATATTGGTTTACCAAATATATGGACTTGTGCGCCACCTATCGGCAAAATTTTTAGTAGAGTTATTCCTTTCATGAAGCAAAAAATGCACTTAATTAGCTTTTTTGCGGGAGTTCGATAAATAACTAACTTTTAATTAGCTATGACAAAACTAACTTTAAGTTAGTTGCAAAGTCGTGCAAGAGTCATGCAGACGTTACCGGGAGTTTGTTTTCTTTAAAAGTTTCTTTTTAAATATCCTCACAAAAAGTTATGCCTGACGGTGTTCGAATATGGGACCGCCTACAGCAGAATATGTAAACAAATAAATAAATAAAAAATTAAAAAATAATAAAATTGTGCCTGAGGTAGTGACTCTTATGTGTTTGGAACTAATAAGGTTGTAATTATTACTTATCCAACATGCCGTGTATTAGTGGTCAAAAAGTTGACCGTATGAAAACTAAAGCAAAAATTCAATGTGAAAATTGCAGAGTTTTTTCGTATGAAAGGTATTGGTGTTTTGCCTGCAGACTTGGATTTCTTAGAGAGCTCTGGAAATAAATATTTTTGCAACGAGTACGCCGCTGCGCGCACAAAATTCTTCCCCTCCCCTCTCCCTACCGTTATTGCGGAAGATTCGGCCGCATCCAAGATTGTATTGTCATCGAACTCGCCTATTCTCTCACAACTTTCTCTTAACGCTTATAATGTGTCTGGTAATCCCATCCAGAGTTGGTAGCTTTGCATAAAGAGCCAGTGCTGCCATTTTGGCGCTTTTGGAGCTAGACTTAGCTTTTTATTTTTCAATTTAACTCCGAAAATTGGGTTTTAGCTCCTAGCTCTTTTCACATTTATCTAGCACTTTTTATCTCCAGAAAGTTGTTGTTGTATTTGGTATATATAAGCCAAAACTTAAGCGTTGATCAAACGGAAAATTTCGAGATGCCAGTGTATCCACCATAAACTCTTGGATCTAGGTTAAAGAATTCAAAAATTAATTAAAATAAAATCCTTTTTCTGATAGCGCGGATTATGTTTTACCTTACTAATTTTACCTTTAAGGAGAACTGGAAGTAAAACTTTCCAGAAAAATTTTGCGAAAAAATTATTAAATTCAATTATCTGAAATTACAGGCTATAACACTTTGTAAAGCATTTTTAGTTCACTGTTATAAAAGCCATAGCAACCAGCCTTGCACCTTATGTTGGTTTTAAAAGATTTTTTGAGCACTTAAACTTATAAAATTCGTTGTTTTTATTAAAGTCGCCGAAAGTGTAAAATCAATCTTACGTCAATAAATGCTCAACCATAAAAAGAATATGTAGCTCTTCATTTTAGCTACTATTAGTATTATTTAGCTATTTTTAGCTCTTCTTTTCGACCGTTTTAGCTCCAAACGAAATTTTTCGCTGGCAACACTGTAAACAGCAAGCCGACGAGTTTGTTAAAACTCTCGCTTCACTCACTGCTGAAATCAAAGAACTTCCTCGTACTATGCGTTGCTGTAGTTGTGTGAACAACAACGTTAAAGCTAATGAGCAAACTATTTCATCTGACGTTATAAATGCTGATATAAGGAGTGCTTCTACGGCTGATGCTACTTATCGTCCACTCTTATTTCCATCTTCTTCGTCTCTGGGAGTTCGTTTTTTTCCCAGTGATGCTAGTGCTACAGCGTCGGCGTCGAAGCCAACTATCGCTACTGCCGAAATGTGTATGTCATATGCTACTGTTGCCGCGCGGGGGGTGAAATAACACAAACGGCAACAACGCAAAATTGGCTTTATTTCACTTTTAAATGGGAAATAATACCAAAATCTGAGTTTTTTGCCTTATTTCCCATTGCTTATTTATACTATTTGTAGCAAAAACAGTTTACTGACCAGAAGGAAAAAGAACTTTGTTTATTCCAAAAATACAATTAAACAAAAAATGTGATATAATTCATATGAAGAAAGTAATATTCACAAAATATTTTTACTTATGAAAGGTCTAACGAAGTATAGGAAAAGAGTCGTCTTTAATAACTGCTCAGCAAATTGGACATAGCGCTTTTGCATGAATTTTATATGCATGCTTTTTTAAATGTGTTGAAAACATTGCTGGAAAATCTTAAAATGTTTGCATGGAACCATGGCGCTATAAACAGGTGAAGTTATATAACAGCTTTCGCGCTTTATTTTCTGTAATTCGGCTGCCTTATAGTCAAAATCAGTGTCAAAATCTTTCTTCTCGCTCTAATTACTTCACCTGGTATAATTCCGCCATGGCATGGAACAAACAAAAGTTACCGTTCCTGTGCGCAGCATATACACAGAGAATATTGTTTTGAGTTTTATCTTCACTTAAAATTTCTGCATTATCATTACTTGTTTCACCATATCCGAAATGTGGATTTCGTTTACGAAGACGAAGTGAACATGCGGTATGAAATAGTTATGTAAAAATATGTAAAATTTTACCTACTCTCAGACTTCTAAATTTGAACGTATACTCGGTACAAGCAGGTGGGATGAATGGCGCAATAAACAGGTGAAGTAATAAAACAGCTTTCTCGCTTTATTTTCTGACATTCGGCTGTCTTATAGCCACATTTTATAAGCATGTTTTCAAATAAGGCAGTGTCAAAATATTTCTTCTCACTCTAACCACCCTCACTATGGGTGGGGTGCATACAATAACACCATACGCAAAAATTCCCATTACTTGGACATTAAAGAGCAGTTACAGAAGTGAACTAGTTTCATTTTATTATTATTCTTTTTTCTAACCGGTCATAATGCCAGCAGCGCATAACTGCGAAAGCAGGGGAGGGGGGCGGGGGACACGAGCGCCAGCGCTACGTCGAACGCAGCGCGGTGCGGGTGCAGCGGGTCGGCGCGCGAACGCGGACCACCGCGACGCCGGGTACTTTCAAAATTGTATACTTACAAATCCGTCCGTTTAACTTGTTCGTGTACTACGTTTTGTCGAATGTAACTGTAACTACATATGTGCACTATTTTGCTTTATTACTCAAATTGTTAAGTTTAAAAGTTGGTCTTATTGCTCAGCGCGAAACGAAATAAAGCAAAGTTGTGTTATTTCACATTAATTTGGGAAATAACACAAATTTGAGTTATTGCCGTTTGTGTTATTTCACCCCCCTTGCCGCGCGGATGAGTGGAAATCAGCATGCTGTAAACAAAACAAATAAAGTGCAGCAGCTTTGTGTAGTTGTCGATGCATCGCCGTCTGGTGAGAGTAAAACATGCACATTAGGGAGTGGCAAAATTTCTTCGCTTGCTAATCTTTCTACCTCCATATCTAATGCTACTGATTCGATACTATCAATGTCTCTCGCTCGTAACAGTAAAACTACCGCCAAGGCCGGCAATAAGAGTGGTGAAATGCGCGTCGTTCGATCTAGTTCTAATGCCGAGCTTAATGTGGCCGTTCCATTAAAGTGGCTTCATTTATCATCTTTTAAGCCATCTGTCAGCTCTGATGATATTACTGCATATGTTGAAAAGCACTCCGGAATCGAAAAGCACCTTTTATCCTGTTTTAAACTTATTAAAAAGGGTGCGCCAACTGACTCTTTAAAAGGTGTCAACTTTAAACTTGTGGCACTGAAAACTCGTAAGTAAAATATTTTGGTTTTCTTATTGATATTTTATGTACAAAAGTAGCTAGCTACAAGTTAGCTGACATCTAATGCAAAGGAAACCAGTTCTCACTATTTTGTGGTCATCGGCCTTCAAAGTTACGCCCAAAGGAAATAGTTAATAAATAGTTACCACTAGTCGAATACTAGTTAGTTAATAGTTAGCTACAAACTAGTCTCATTTCCTGCAGGGTTAATATACGTTCTTAATACGAACCAACTGGGACTATAAATACGTTTTTTTCCCCAATATCTCGACTCCTGCGCCACCTATCGGGTTAACTCATCTTTCGTATTGCATTGTCATCCGGTTCTGAGTCAATTGTGAAGTTTCAAGTCTCTAGGTCATCGGGAAGTTGGTTAAAAATTTATTGCAGGAGTTGCCCCTAACAAACATATATACTTCCATGCATACATACATACCAGGGTCGTTGCGAATATTATTCCGAAATAAAAGTCCTTTCCGGATAATAAACAAACCGCTTATCCAAATTAAACAAGTTTGGTACCAAATTAAAGAGGACTTTAAAATCTTTATAACTGAAATGTCTAAACGAGGAAAGCCACAGATTTAAAAATATTTCAATAAAAAATGTTAATAAAGTACCATAGAACAAACCTTGTGTCAGGTGTATGCATTTTTTTAGTATTAAACTATAAAAAAAAATATAAATTAAGATCATTCTTTATTTCTGTTTAAAAGCTATTTCATTCCTCTTTCATATGATACCAAATTTGTTTAATTTGGAAAGGCGGTTTGTTTATTATCCGGAAAGGACTTTTATTTCGGAATAATATTCGCAACAAGCCTGATACGTACATACAGAGCAACCCAAGAAACATCGGGCTTGGTTAGCAATTCGAAAATGATTGGAAAACCAATATTTTTTTCGAGCCTCACCTTCGATAATAATGAAATAAATTAGTATTCCATTCAAAAACTACGCGAAAACGCGAAATTAATAAGTTTGGTAATTTTTGATAACTTATTTAACATAAATACATTGGTATGTTAAAGATTTACGCGCATATACACTGGCGACGAA